GTCTGGGAAACCCTGGAATCCCTGATATTTTGTTGCCTGTAGATAAGCATTAAGAGGTTGAGGAGTTGTAAAGTGGCAAAGAAAAGATTTATGATACTTTCCTTACTGGTACTATTTAGGACAGTGTTTGTATTTTATTGTATATTCTTCCACATATAAATATACTGCCATGTGTGTAGGAGTATATTTGTATGTATGTATTATGTGTGTGTGTGTGTATGTGTATATATATATGTATATACGTATATATATATATATATATATTTTTTTTTCCCACCAAACTGAAATCACCCAGTGCTGAGGCGCTCATAAATGGTGGGCAAGTGCTCTCCTACTGCGCTTCATTCCCAGACCTGAAAATGGTTTCTAACTATGAGGTGGCAACAAGAAAGACTGATCTCCTAAAAATGTGAATAGTTTTTAAAGATTTATCTGCTGCAGCATATATTTTTAAAGTAAAGTTGGAAACAATCTGGAAGATCATTTAAATATACAATGAAATACTGTACAACCACAGTAAATGAAGAAATATGGAGATTTGAAAAAATATTCATGATGCATTGTTAAAGAAAATGGTTGTTAACAAATCAAGATTGATGATATGTCAATTGGGCAAAAATGCACATATGAATATATATTTTAAAAACTGATTGAGAGGCTGGGGGTTGTGGCTCAGTAGTAGAGCACTTGCCTAGCACATGCTGGGCCCTGGGTTTGATCCTCAGCACCACATAAAATAAAATAAATGTATTGTGTCCAACTACAATTAAAAATATTTTAAAAAACTGGCTGAAAGAATATATATTAAAATATTAAGAACAGTTATTCTCAATGGTAGGAAATAGTGTTTTTATGTATTTTATAAAATTTCTACAGTGATCATCATTGTTTCATTCCTATTCTTATTTTTAAATTATTTACAATCTTATACTATTAGTAATTGTGTGTCACATATAGAAAAGGAGAAGAAGCCGATGTGATTCTGCAATCTGTATTTGGGGTAAAATTGGGAGTTCATAACCAACTTGAATCTAATATATGAAATATGATATGTCAAGAGCTTTATAATGTTTTGAACAACCAATAAAAAAAAAAGAAAAGGAGAAGAAGATGAGGAAGAGGAAACAAGGACAGAATTTATTATTGATGAAAATTATTTGGTTTCTTCTTCAGCTCCCAAAGAGAACACTACTCCTCTCAAAAGTAATCCCGCTTTTCCTAAGCTGCTTCTTGGATCATTGCTGATACTTTTCCTGCTGTTGGCAATCTTATTCTTTGTTGCTTTTGTCAGTAAGTATAGCAATTCAATCAATAATCAATGTCTGCCTTACATGAAATGAAGATTTCTCTTAGAACTGACATTTAACACTGTGTTTATCCAGATAGCTGAACAAGAAAATTTCTCTGGGGAGATAAAATTCAGTTGTATCTATTGGAAATTTTGTTCTTTTTTAGGATTTAGTTACTGTCCTATAAAAATAATGGAATCCATTCTCATTAGAGAATTTGAAGAATATATGTGGGTAAACATGTTGGTGTAATACAGTAAAATCTTTGAGGCATCATCTCTGTATTAGGCTCTCTGTGAGGGCAGAATGTTTCCTTAGTAGCACTTATAAAGCTAGTCCTGTTTGACTTCACAGACACTTACATTTTTGGGGTATGTAATGGACAAGAAGGAGATGGGAAGAAATATTCCAGAAGAGTTCTCCAATACATTATCTTCTAATTATTTCTGTTCCGCCCAAGATTGTGTGAGATTTAAAACCCAACTTAGCAAATAGATTTTTGCATATCTTGGCTTTCAGAATTTATCAAGATTTTAAGTCATAAACTCAGCCTACTTTTGGATAGATATTTTATTCATTAATTTGGTCATTCAATAAGTGGTAATGGCCTTGTACTATTTGCTAGGCACAATGTTAGAGAGTCTAGAAAGAGTCACAAATTCTGTCCTCAAGAAACTGAATAGTGAAATGAACCAGTTCTTGCTGGGTGCAGGGGCACATACTTATAGTAATTCCAACTACTCAAGATACTGAGGACAGCCTGGGCAACATACTGAGACCTCCAAAAAAAGAAGAACCAGTGTTTGCAACGTTGCATGGGAAGTGTTCTGTAGGTAAGAAGTGAGCACAAGAGGTTGAGGTAAGCTTCCTGCAAGAGATGCCATCTAGAACTGTATATATCAAGAATGGTATAGACATATTATATATTTGGAGAAATATAAGCATACATGACTGGAACATATAGTGCTACTTGAAGAACTTTGAAATGAAGTTATTAGGGGCAGACATGAACAGGACACAGATTATGGAGTATTGTGTATCATTATAAAGAATTTGGATTTTTTCCCCTAAATATTATTTTACAAAGTAAATTAGTCTAAAATTTAGTGGGTTAAAAGAGCTATATATTTAGCTTCCACTTCTGAGGCTTGGCAATTTAGACTGGTTTCAGTTGGGAGTTTCCTCTGTCCTAGCTGAACTCACTCATGCATACTATGTCAGATACTAGTCATAGACGGAGAAAGAGGATGTCAAGTAGAATGACAGAGGCAATTTCACCACATTTCTGTTGTCATTTATCAGACTAGCCTGGGTTTGTTCACATGATCACTTACTGACTTCCAAGACTGAGGGTGAAAGGAAGCCAATCATGTTGAAGTCTCAATTTGGAACTAGCAGTTTCTTTTGCACATTCTGTTGGCCAAATGGAGTCTTAAAGGCAGCTCATATTCAAGTGGTGGAGAAACAGACCCCATATCTTGATTGGAGAAACTGTAAATTCACAGTGCAATGGGGTGTGAATACAGGGAGCGTGGAACTTTGAGGCCATTTATTCAGTGTGTCACAGTCATGGTAAGCCATTGAAAA